ACAATGTTAAGTCTTCCAATCCATGAACATGGAATGTCTTCTTTAATCTCTTTCATCAGAGTGTTATAATTTCATTGTATAAGTTTCATATTCCTGGTAAAATTTATTACTAGGTATTTTACTATTTTTAGATGATATTGTAAATGAAATTGTTTTCTTAGTTTCCTTCACAGGAAACTAGTTTTTGTGTGATAACCTTGAACTCTGTTACTTTGCTAAATTATCTATTAGCTCTAGAACCATGTTTGTGGATTCTTTGGGATTTTCTATATATGGAATCATGTCATCTGTGGATAGAGATAATTTTTCTTCTTCTTTCCCAATTGTATATATTTTATTTCATTTTATTGCTTTGTTGCTCTGGCTAGGACTTCGAGTACAGTAGTGAATAATGGTGGTGGGAGTGAACATCCTTTTCTTGTTCCTGATCCTAAGGAGAAACCTCTCAGTCTTTGTTCATTTCATATAAGGTTGGCTTTCGGGTTTTCATAAATTGTCTCTTTCATATTGAGGAACTACCCTTCTATTTCATTTTCTTGAGTGTTTTCATCAAGAAAGATGTTGGATTTTATCTTGTGTCTTTTACATCTGAGATGATCGTGTGGTTCTTTTCATTTGTTCTGTTAATGTTGTGTATTGCATAGATTTTTCTAGTATTGAACCGTTCTGGCATTCCTGGAATAAATCTGGTGTATAAATCTTTTGATATGCACTTGGATTCTGCTTTCTAGTATTTTGTTGAGAATTTTTCATCTTTATTCATAAGAGTATTGATCTATAGTTTTCTTCCTTGTGGTGTCTTGGTCTGGCTTTTTGGTATCATGGTAATGCTTCATATAATGAATTAGGATGTATTCCTTCCTTTTTTACATTTTTGAAGATTTTGGACAGAATTGGCATCAGTTCTTTAAAAGTTTGGTAGAATTTCTCAATGAAGCCATCTGGTCCAGGACTTTTTGTTGTTGATGTTGGGAAGCTTTTTATAATTGATTCAATCTTTGTACTTTTTGGGGGGTCTGTGGAGACTTTCTACTTTCTCTTGAGTCAGTTTAGGTAGGTTATGTGCTTCTAAGAATTTTCTCATTTTATCTAAGTTATAATGTTTTTTGGTGTACAGGTGTTCATAGTATTTTGTTATGATCCTTTTTTATTTCAGTTGGGTTAGTTGTATTGTCTCCACTTTCATTTCTTATTTTGCTTATTTTCACGTTCTCTTTTTTATTTGTCCATCTTACCAAAGGTTTGTCAATTTTATTCATCTTTTCAAAGGAGCAAGTTCTGGTTTTATAGATTATTAATTTTCCAATCTATATTTCATTTATTTTTGCTCGAATCTTTGTTGTTTCCTTTCTTCTAATAGCTTCAGGCTTGGTTTTCTCTTCTAATTTCTCAAGTTGTAGAGTTAAATTATTGATTTGAAATCTTTTTTCTTTTTTAATGTGCACATTTATTGCTGTAAATTTTTCTGTGTGCACTGCCTTCACTTCATCCTATAGGTTTTGGTATATTGTGGCTTCATTTTTGTTCAACTCCAAGGTTTTTTTTTCACTCTTTTGATTTTTTCCTTAATCCATTAGTTGTTTAATAATTCATTTTTATTTCCACATATTTGCGTTTCCAAGTTTTCCTTCTGTGATTAATTTCTACTATTATTTTCTTTTGGTTGGAGAAGAAACTTTGTATAATTTCAGCCTTTTTAAACTTATCGGGACTAGTTTTGTGACCTAGCATATGGTATATCCTGGAGGATGACACATGTGCACTGGAAAAGTGTGTGTGTTGTTCTGTGGTTGGGTGGAGTGTTCTTTATATGTCTGTTATGTCTTATTGGTTTATAGTGTCGATTTTTGTATTGATCTTCTTCAAAGATGCTCTGTCCATTAATGAAAGTGGTGTTTTGAAGACTTCAGCTATTATTGTAGAGCTTTCTATTCTCCCTTCATTTCTGTCAGTGTTTGCTTCATGTATTTGGGGCACTGATGTTAGGCGCATATATATTTATAATTGTTATATCTTCTTGAAAAATTGACCATTTTATCATTATACACGCACTCCTCACTTATCGACATGGTTAAGTTCCAAAGACTAGGTCATTATATGAAAATTGGCATTATGTGAAAATGGAGGATGACCACATCAGATCACAAAATGGAGGATAACTACATCATTACATAACTGCCAAATTACATTATTATGTAACTGCCAAACCACTGAGAATTGTGACCCAGCCAGGCTGACACACAACCTTAATGCTATGAAGGAGTTCTACTCTGTACTTATGGAGTTGCCATCAGTTGGAATTGACTCAACAACAACATTTTAACTTGATACTCCCAAGTAACATACAAGTAACAAGTAATATACATTAACATACAAAAACTCTATTCCTATTTTGCTCCTCTCTCCCTAGTCTCTGTAGTTGTTGTCACCTATTACATAATTATACATCCTATGCCCATTAGGATAAATTTATACTTATTTCTTATGTATTTGCTGTTAGAAAGCTTATGGAACTTAACAGTTAAATTTACCAACTGAAAATAACATACATTTGGTCCTTATTTTCCCATGCCATCACGTTTACTAAAGATCGCTCTTTTATTTTTTAAATTTTTTCCTCACGTATAGGTTTGAATAGCTGTCTAACGTTTTTTCCTTTTTCATCTGAAGAACCACCTTTAGCAAATCTTTCAGGGCAGGTCTGGTGGTAACAAATTTCCACAAGTTTTATTTATCTGGTATGTCTTGATTTCAACTTTGTTTTTGATGGACAGCTTTGCTGGATAAAGATTCTTGGCTGAAGTTCTTTTCTTGTATAATAGTCCACCCTTATCCTCAGTTTTGGTTTCCACAGTTTCAGTTACCTGCGGTCAACTGAGATCTGAAAATGTTAAATGAGTAACATGTTGAAATCTCATGCTGTCCCACTCTGTCCCACAAGGGGACCACATCCACATAACTTATAGTATAGTATATTGTTATAACTGTTATATTTTATTACTAGCTATTGTTGTTAATCTCTTACTGTACCTAATTTATAAATTAAACTTTTTCATAAGTATGTATGTATAGGACAAAATGTTGTATATATAAGGTTCAATGCTGTCTGTGGTTTCAAGCATCCACGGGGTGTCTTGGAACATATCCCCCACAGATAAGGGGGACTACAGTATGTTATACTGGGCTTCTCTCTTGCTGCTTTCAGAATTCTCTTCTTATCTTTGGTTTTCAAGAGTTTGATTACAATGTATCTTAGTGTAGATCTCTTTGGGTTTATTCTACTTGGAGTTTGTTGAGCTCCTAGGTCTGCAGGTTCACTTCCTTACTTAAAAGTCTGTAGTTTTCTCCTATTATTTTTTCAACTATTCTTTGTGTCCCTTTCTTTCTCTCCTCTCCATCAACGATCCCCATGGTGCATATGTTGGTACACTTGATGATGTCTCAAAATTCCATTTGACTTTGCTCATTTTTCTTTATTCTTTTCTCCTGTTTCTCCTGAGGCTCAGTAGGTTCTATTACCTTGTCCTCTACTTCACATATTCTTTCTTCTGCCTGATAAAATCTATTGTTGAATTCTTCTGTTGCATTTGTGATTTCAGATCGTGTGTTCCTTAGTTCCAGTATTTCTGTTTGGTTCTTTTTTATGTTTTTGATCTCCTCATTTAAATTTTCATTTTGTTTCTTGATTTCCTAAAGTTTATTGTGTGTGTGTTCTTTAAATAATTTGAGCATAGTTAATGTTGTTGTTTGAAAGTCCTTTATTTTGTCCATTATCCAGGTTTACATATGGCTTTTTTCTGCTTCTTTGTATTGTTATTTGAATTGAGTCATCTTTTTCTCTTTCCTTGTATGCCTTAGAATTTTTTGTTGAACTTGGGGCATTTGATTATCATACTGTGGTAACTCTGGAACTCAGAATCTTCTCTTTCTCCAGGGATTATAATTGTGTGCATGTTTCTTTTCTTTTTTTATTCCCCTTTCCTTGATTGTTAAAGACTGTAATAGTCTATCTGCTCAACAACTTCCTTTAACTATTGTTGACAGGACTGCCCTCCAGAATGCATGTGGTTATCAAGGACTATGATCCAAATACCTTGTCCTTGTAGTTTTAAAAGGAGATTTTCTTGTAATTCAGGGAGAAAGACAAATAGCAGAATACAGAAAGTATCTGATAACTATTATTACTTGATGTAGGCTGTAGTTGACTGTATGTTTGTTGCTATTCCCAAGCTACTTTTTGTAACATGTGAGTTCCAATTCAATTCTCTTTGCAGATAGTCAGTGGCCAGGCTGATTCCACTAGAGGACACTCTGGCTCTTTGATTCTGCTGGCACTGACATGATGCTAGCAAAAGGCCAAAATATCCCCACTTGTCTGAACTCTTCACGGTACCACTGGACCAAGCCTTCTCTGAAAACTTTGTCACCCCAAAGCCTTGGAGGGGAAGTCCTCCACTGCCTACTCTAGCATCAACCAGCTGTTTTGGGAATATGGGGCACCATGCCCACTTCCATGGTGGGACTGAAGAATGGGTTGGTGCACACATTCTCCTAAAAAAGATCAGCAACCTGTGCTTTCTTCAGGCACTTCTCTAGTGGACTGAAGCATCTGATCTGCTTCCAGGGCCCCTAAATCGTTCCAGTAGCTCTTTCACAGATAGTAGGTGATTTGATGGAGAGGTAGTTCTCAGTCACCCCCCAATCCACCTTTTTGTTTTAAAATTTTCAAGTCTCCAGGGGCAAGGCTTCCTCAGAGCTCAGCCCTTCATAGCCTATTGTTTTCAACCATTAAGTTAAATCACTCCGATGTGATTCATGAAGATGGAGGCATTACAAATTCTTTTCAGTTCTTCCTGGATGTGGGTGTGGACTGGCTCCTCTGTGAGGATTCTGCATATCCTTCAATTTTCTGGCTGCTCCCAGACAGAAATGAAGAATCTGAGAGAACACACCTAAGAAAAAGCTAAGACCATTTACCATACTCCTGGGCCAAAGGTAGCATGGTTCACAGTTCGCAGTTCACAGCTTGCAGCTTGTGGCTTACAGTTCACTGCTCACAGTTTACATCCAAGTGCTCTCGCTTCACTCCTGTGAGAGCTGACTAGGAGAAGTACTTATGTGATAGAAAAACCTTCCTATCTTGTCAGTTCCTTTTACAGCTTTTGGTTAGATGCTTTATCTCTTGGACTGGTTTCTGGAGTTCTGAATCTATTAGGTCCACTGCATTATTTGTTCTATTTTGTTTCTTTTTTCTTTAATTGTTGTGGGAGGTTGGAAGTTCTCAAGTACCTATGTTGCCATCTTGGGGAGGAGCCTCTTCTTATAAGGACATCAATTATATTGGATTAAGGCCCATCCTCTTAAAGTACGACTTCATGTTAACATTCACAGGTACTGGTTGTTAGGATTTGAACATATCTTTTTGGAAGACAAAAATCGAGCCATAATAGTATATCCCCTTGGCTCCCAAAATCCATGTTCTTCCCACCTGCACAATACATTTACCTTATACCAAATCCACAGAGTCTTAACCCATTCCAGCATTAATTCAAAAAGTCCCAAATCTCATGTAAATCTTCTAAATCAGATATGGGTGAGATGTTGGGTATGGTTCATCCTGGGGCCAAATTCTCCATCTCTGTACCTGTGAAATGCAAAAAAACTATTTGTTTCCAAAATACAGTTGTGAGACAGGCATAGGATAGACATTCCTGTTCAAAAAAAGGAGAAATTGTAAGAAAAAAGAAGTCATGGGTCTCAAGCAGAGCAAAATCAATTAAATTTCATGGCATGAGAATAGTCATTTCACTTGATGATGCATGATGCTTTGTCCTCTGGGTCTATGGAGGCTCCATCAGCCCCAGCAGTGGCCCCAGGAGCCTCTAATCTTCCCTGGGCTGAGGCAGCTTCCACCTCTTGTCTCTCACTGGTGATCCCACCCTCTGGAATCTCACTGGCAGCACCCTCTGGAACAAAGGAAGCAATGGCCCTGCCCCCTGGGCCCACACCCTCTGGGCATGTAGTGTTAGTGGTAACCCTGGTGGTCTCTGAGTCACCCTCAGAGTCATTCTTCCCTTTTTTGAAGGGATATATATATTCACAGCCAAGTAACTCTATCAGTCAATTTCCTGCCTATACGAGTCCGGAAATCTGACAGCCTTCCTTCATTTCATCCCATCGCTATCTCTTTAGTCCAAGCTGGCAGTGTTTCTGCTGAAACAGTTGATCATATCCGTGAATCACATGCATAATCTCTCCAGTAAATTTTGTTCAGCTGCAACGTTGGCGTTCTCTCCAGAGAACACTTTCTCATTTTTTGTAACCTGGATATGATGACAATTTTCTGAATCTTCAGGTTCTTGTTCCTTTTCACTTAATAGTTTCTCCTTTAATTTATCTCTTTCCTCTCACATTTTACTATAAGCAGCAAGTAGAAACCAGACCATGGTTTCAACACTTTGCTTGGAAATCTCTTCAGCTACATATCCAAGTGCATCACTTACAAATTCTACTTTCCACAAAACAGTAGAACAAATTCAGCCACATTTTCTACCACTTTGTAAAAAGGATTTCCTTTCCCTCGATGTCCAATAAAATGTTCATCTTTTTCTTCTTAGGTCTCACCAAAATATGAACATTGGACCTTCATATTTCTAGAAACATTTTTTTCATGACAATATATGTATTCTCTAAGATGATGGAAGCAGTCTCTCCTCACTTCTTTCTGAGCCCTCACCAGAATTGCCTTTAATGTCCCTAGCAACAGTCTCTTCAAGGCAGTCTAGGCTTTTACTATCAAGCACCACAAAACTCTTACAGCCTGTACTCATTAACCCATTTCAAAGCTACTTTCACGCTTTTAGGTATTTGTTATAGCAGTATCCCACTCTTGGTAGAAAAACCTGTATGTGTTTCCTAGGGTTTCTATAACAAAGTACTGCAAAGTGGATGACTTAAAACAACAGAAATTTATTCTTGCAGTTTTGGAAACTAGAAGTGTGAAATTTGTGTGTCAGCAGTGCTGATTCCTTCTGAGGCCCCTGAAAGAGTATGTGCTCCATGCCTTTCTCTTAGCTTCTGATGATGACCAAAGTCCTTGGTATTTTTTGGCATCACTTCTTTCTGCCTCTGTCTTCACATGGCCAACTTCTCTCTATATCTGTGTCTCTTCTCTACTTATAAGGACTCTAGTTGTATTGGATTAGGGCCCATCCTACTCCAGTATGACCTCATATTAACTTAACTAATTACATCTGCAAGATGACTATTTCTAAATAAGTTCACATTCACAGGTACCAGGGGCTAGGACTTGAACATATATTTTTGGGAGACACAAATCAGTCCATAATAGCATCTATGTTACTGAGAGATAGGCCTGTAATTTTATTTTCTATTAAAGGCCTTATCAAGTCTTGGTATCAAGGTTATGCTCTCCTCACAGAAAAAGCTGATAAGTGTTCTCTCTCTTTCTATTCTTTGGAAGAGTTTGTTAATAGTTTTTGTTTTTTTCCTTAGGTGTTTGGAAGAATTGATCATTGAAGACATCTGGACCTGGAATTCTCTGTTTCAGTAAGTTTTAAATTATTGAGTCAATGTCTTTGATGTGTATACAATTCAGATTTATCTATTGCTCCTTGTTTCTACTTTCATATGTGTTCTTATTCAATTAATTTTTTCTACTTCTGTTTAAATTTTTAAATTTATTGGCCTAAAGCTTTTTATCTTCTTTCATTCCTTTCTGCTGTTATCTTTGTTATTTTTCTCCTTCCATATCATTTGGCTTTAATTTGCTTTTCTATTTCTAGCTCTTTGTGATCAATACTTAAATGATAGCTTTTCAGCTTTTCTCTTTTCTAATATATGAATTTTAGCCACAAATTTTTTGTAAGTGTGCCTTTGAACCACACAAATATTTAAATACTGCATTGTCTTTATCATTCAGTTAAAATATTTTCTGATTTTTATGACAATTTATTCTTCAATCCATAGATTGGAATATTAATTTGCAAATATTTGAGTATTTTTTTAGTTATCATTTTATTAATTCCACTGTGGTCAGTGAACATATTCTGTATAATTTCAATACTTTGAAATTTATTGAGATTTGCTTTATGGCCCAGCATATAATAAATTTTGTTAAATGTTCCATATGCACTTAAAATGAATGTGTATTATGCAATAGTTTAGGGTAGTGCCTTTATGTTGTGTCAATTTTTTAATCATGTTATTCAAATTTTCTATATCTACACTTATTTATTTTGTTTTCTTGGTCTGTTAGTTACTAAGATAAGTATGCTAAAATCTCCAACTAATATTGTGAGTTTGCTTATTACTACTTTTAGTGCTATAATTTTGTTTTATATATTTTAAAGCTATGTTAATAGATCATATAAATTTAGACTGCTCTGTCTTCCTATTGAATTGACCCTTTACCATTATAAAATGCCCATATCTATCTTTTTCTTAAAGTTTACTTTGTTTGACATTGATAAAGCTCCATGAGCTTACTTTTCATTAGTAAGTGCACAATGTATCTTTTCCATTCTTTTTATTTTCATCCCTTCTGTGCCCTTATATTTTAGGTGTACCTCTTATAAGAAATAAATCATCAGTTTTTGTTTTTTAATCCATTGTGATATTTGTCTCTTTTACTTTTAATGTAATTACTTTATATTTAGATTTAAACCTGGCATCTTATTATTTTCTTACTATTTGTCCCATACTTGTGTTTGTTAATTCTCCTTTCTTGCTTTTCTTTGTATTAAATATTTTTATTACATTTCCCACTCTATTATCTTATTAGTTATACATTCCTTTACAATTCTTTTGTGGTTATCCTTGAGATTACAACACTAATCCTGTGCTTTTTGGAGTTTAGCATAAATTAGCATTTTAACTATTTCCCAGGCAATGCAAGGACCTTACAATACTTTAATTCCATATACCTCACACAACTTTTTGCACTACTATTACTCTGAATTTTATTTTTCATACATTTCAAATTCAACAGATTATTATTTGTCATCTGTGACCACATATTTGCATTCTTTGGTGCTCTTTATTTCACCTTACATTAACTGCACATCATCTTGGGCCATTTTTCTTCTGTCTGGAGAATTGTCATTGCTATTTCTTTTAATGCTTTTTACTGGCAATAAAATTTTCACAGTTTTTTGTTTGTTTAAAAATGTCTGTATTCCGAGCCATTTAAATATGGTCCATTGAGTGATATGTTGTTAAGTGCCACAAGCTTGGGGAGTGTGGCTGCTTTACTCAGCATCATAACTAGCAGATACTGCACATTTAATAAACACAGAAGTACCTCGTTTTATTGTGCTTTGCAGAAATTGCGTTTCTTACAAATTGAGGGTTTGTAGCAACCCTGTGTCAAGCAAGTCTATAGGCACAATTTTTCCAAAAACATGTGCTCACTTCGTGTCACTGTATCACATTTTGGTAATTCTTGCAATATTTCAAACATTTTCATTACTATTATATCTGTTTTGGTGATCTGAACCACGCCCACCGACAGGCTATTCCTCCGTCTGTCTCCCTCTCCTTGGACCTCCCTATTCCCTGAGACACGACAATATTGAAGTTAGGTCAATTAATAACCCTGCACTAGCCTCAAAGTGTTCAAGTGAAAGGAAGAGTTGCATGTCTCTCACTTTAAATCAAAAGCTACAAATGATTAAGTTTAGTGAGGAACACACGACAAAAACCGAGATAGGCCAAAAGCTAGGCTGCTGGCACCAAACAGTTAACCAAGTTGTCAATGCAAAGGAAAAATTCTTGAAGGAAATTGAAAACGTTACTCCAGTGAATACATGAATGATAAGGAAGCGAAACAGCCTTACTGTTGACATGGGGAAAGTTTTAGTGGTCTGAATAGAAGATCAAACCAGCCACAACATTCTCTTAAGCCAAAACATAATTGAGAGCAAGGCCCTAACTTTCTTCAATTCTATGAAGGCTGAGAGAGGTGTGGAAGCTGCAGAAGAAAGATTTGAAGCTAGCAAGATTGGTTTATGAGTTTTAAGGAAAGAAGCCCTCTCCATAACATAAAAGTGCAAGATGAAGCAGAAAGTGCTGATGTAGCAGCTGCAGCAAGTTATCCAGAAGATCTAGGTAAGATAATTCATGAAGATGGCTACACTAAACAACAGATTTTCAGTGTAGACGAACCAGTCTTTTATTAGAAGAAGATGTCATCTAGGACTTTTATAGCTAGAGAAAAGTCAATGCCTGGCTTCAAGGCCTCAAAGCTTCAAAGGACAGGCTGACTCTCTTGTTGGGGGCTAATGCAGCTGGCGACTTTAAGTTGAAGCCAATGCTCATTTAACATTCCAAAAATCCTAGGGCCCTTAAGAAATATGCTAAATCTACTCTGCCTGTACTCTATAAATGAATGACAAAGCCTGGATGACAGCACAACTGTTTACAACATGGTTTACTAAATATTTCAATCCCACTGTTGAGACCTACGGCTCAGGAAAAAAAAAAGATTCCTTTCAAAATATTACTGCTCATTGACAATACACCTGGTCATCCAAGAGCTCTGATGGAGATGTATAAGGAGATTAATGTCGTTTTCACACCTGCTAACACAGCATCCAATCTGCAGCCCATGTATCAAGGAATAATTTCAACTTTTAAGTCTTATTATTTAAGAAATATATTTTGTAAGGCTATAGCTTTCATAGATACTGATTCCTCTGATGAATCTGGGCAAAGTAAATTGAAAACCTCCTGGAAAGGATTCACCATTCTAGATGTCATTAAGAACATCCGTGATTCATGGGAGGAGGTCAAAATAGCAACATTAACAGGAGTTTAGAAGAAGTTGATTCTAATCCTCATGGATGACTCTGAGGCATTCAAGACTTCCGTGAAGGAAGTAACTGCATATGTGGTGGAAATAGCAAGAGAACTAGCATTAGAAGTGGAGCTTGAAGATGTGACTGAATTGCTGCAATCTCATGATAAAACTTAAACGACTGAGGAGCTGCTTCTTATAGATGAGCAAAGAAAGTGGTTTCTTGAGATGCAATCTACTCCTTGTGCAGATGCTATGAACATTGTTGAAATGACAACAAAGGATTTAGAATATTGTATAGAATATTAATAAAAGAATATTAGTTGATAAGACAGTGGCAGGGTTTTAGAGGACTGACTCCAATTTTGAAAGAAGTTCTACTGTGGTTAAAATGTTATCAAACACAGCATCGCATGCTACAGAGAAATCTTTTGTGAAAGGAAGAGTCAATCGATGTGGCAAACTTCATTGTTGTCTTATTTTAAGAAATTGCCATAGCCACCTCATCCTTTAACAACCACCACCCTAATCAGCCAGCAGCCATCAACTTCAAGGCAAGACCCTCCAGCAGCAAAAGATGATGACTCACTGAAGACTCCAATGATGGTTAGCATTTTTAGTAATAAAGTATTTTTCAATTAAGGTATGTACATAGTTTTTTTTAGACATATTGTTATTTCACACTTAATAGACTACAGTATAGGGTAAACATATATACACTGGGAAACCAAAAAATTCATGACTCGCTTTATTATGATATTGGCTTTATTCAGTGACCTGGAACCGAACCTTCAACATCTCTGAAGTATGCCTGTATTTGCTAAACGAATAAATGAATGCAGCAGTGCAAAAAAGAAGTCCAATGAATGAAGCAGTGCAAAAAACTCTCTATTTCATCTTCATTTTTGAAGAAAATTTAGCTCTGTTAAAAATCCTAAGTTGACAGTTATTTTTTTTTCATAACTTTAAAGATGTTATTTTGTTGTCTTCTCGATTCTGTCACTTATTTTTCAAGATAGAGGCTAGCATCACTTATCTCTCAAAGGAATATACACAGATTCATTTATAACAGGAAGACCAAGCTAAGAATATACTTCAGAAATGAAGAAATCTGCTCAGAGTTTTAATTATATTTGAACATCCGATAGCTTTAAACTAAGATCATATCTGTATAAAGTGGGCATGTTATGATATTTGGCTAACTTGCCCCTTATTATTTCTTGGTTACTTTTTCTAGTGTTATCTACAGTGAGGTGCATGTGTAAGACAATCTATTAGAGTATGGGAACAAGATACTAAAACTTAAATTTATTTATTTTATCTTTTGAATTTTTTATCTTACAATACATTTTATAATATATATTGTTACAGTATAAAATAAATTATATACACACAGATGGGGAGTGTATTCAAATTTGTTCACTGATAAAAATACTTGAAAAAAAAGATTGGAAATAACTACTTTGAATTGTGGGAAGGAAGCAAAAATCAACCTAGGAACAAGATGTTTTTCCCAGAGTGTGAAAGCAACCCTCCAGCCAGCATGGTAAACTTCCATACTGTTAAATTTCCAGGCGCTCAGACCATAATCTCTTCTAGCTGCTCTATTAAATGAATATGGTTGCACCAAAGACTAATAGGTCATTGATCGACTGCCTTTGGGAAAAGCAAAAATCACAAGCTTGAACTGTTTCAGAAATCTATGAACTTTCCTTTTCATGACCATTAGGTCAGCGCTGTGGTTCTTAACCAGAGCTAAGTATCAAAATATAGATTTGATTAATCCACATCCAGAGATTCTGAGTCATGGTTTTGGGAGCAGTACTCAAGCATGTTTACTTTTTAAAAGTTTCCAAGTTGGTTTTGATGTTTACCTTCATTTGAGAACCACTTTACTACTTAATTTATTGTTCAACATCTCCAAAGTCTTCTCTAAAGTAACTTAGCAGTTATTGAATTATGGGTCAGGATTTGTGCTGGATAATAGAGCTTTCCTTAGGAAATGAAAATAAATTTGACTCAAATATACATAGATTTGACCATTTCGACTGACTCATTTTATTTTGTTTTGAGTTTACTGACTTGATGGTTTAAGTTAGTCAAAAACTCAAGCTCTTAGGACATGTGTTTATAAGCACAATCTCAAGAGTTAGCAATGATCACAACTCACTGTCCCAGCTAACTAATAAGAAAATTACATTTTTAAAAACAAATCATTCCATGTTTATCCTCTGTGGACAATGATGATTATTACCAAATCAAATGGGAGCATTCCAAAGAGAAACTATCAGGGACTAATTTTTGAGAAAATTCAACATCCCCGTCAATACTTATGTGTGTCAGTTCTCACACATCACTAACAGTTTAAGTTCTGAAATATTAAGAAATTGTGGGTTTTTTTTTTTTTACAACTTATTTAGTGAGTTTAGAAACTATATTTATGCTGTACTAGTTTAAACCTTTTCACTAGAAGATTTTTTGGGGAAACTGGTTCAACTTATGGCCCTATATAATATAAACAACGTATTTTGTTTATTTTAGAATTAGTCAAATTAGTGTCTTTATTTCAGGTCTTGGTTGAAGGTTTTGGTGAAATAGCATTTATTCATCTATAAGTTGATCTAGGGTAGAGGAACTGGAATAGGAAGTATAAGTAGATATTCTTAGATAATGGAAATCAGAGAATGCACAATATTTCATAAGTTGTTATTGCATGCTTATTCATAATAATAATTGTTATTATTATAACCAGCAATAGTACAAATTCAATTAAACATTTTATCTCTTTTCAATAGACCAGAAGTAAACATCAGAACGTATGATAATTCCATTTCAAGTAAGAATTTAGTCTTTTGAATCTGATATTTATTTAGATTATATTTGAAAATAACTTTAGGAACAAATGATTACTATCCTCCATTATATGTGATAAGGCAGAAACTGCCCTGAATTTTTATTCTAATTTCATATAAGCATGTATGGTTACATATGTATGTGTGCATAAGTGTGTATGTGATGTGTGTGTGTGTGTAAAATGTTTCTTATATTGTACTATCTGTTTAAAAGCAAAGAATTGTTTAGTTTGTTCTTCCTGTTAATACAAACCAACCTTACATAAGATTGCCTTGTGTTCAAAATTCACAGTCATAATACCTAAATAATGCAAATACAGTCGGAGGAATGAAAGTATGGTGAAAGGTCTGTTTGTTGAACAGCTGCAACTTTAAGGAATATTTTCTTAATATTTTGAGCTGAAATCTGCCTGCACTCTTGCAACTTTTACCTATTGGTTCTAGCTCTTCCATCAGGAAACACTGAAAGAAATGTATAACATTGTAATTAAAAGCATGGACTCGGGGGCTAAACTACCTCTGCTACTTGCCAGCTTTATAATCATGGGCAAGAAATTTACCTCTCTGTGTGCATTTTTTTCCACGTTTGTGAAATTATATTATCTACGTCAAAGGGTTCTTGTAAGGATTAAATAAGTTGATCTGCATAAAGATGAACTTTATGGAGTCTTAGAGCACAGTCTGACATAGTAAGCACTATGTAAATGTTAGCAGTTGTGGCTATGCTACTACTGCCACCACTACTACTACTGCTATTCTTCAACATAACAGCTTTTTACATATTTAAATATAGTGATCACATCTCTCATTAGTCTTCTCATCTCCAGGAGAACTATCCTGAGTGTCTTCGCTAGTTCCTCTTTTGACATAGCTTCCAGATAATTTTATATTATGAAACACTCTATTCTGCATGTCCTCAAGTGTGTCTATGTTCTTCATTAAATAGAGTTCCCAGAACTGAATGCAGCATTTGGGCCTATATAATAGGGAATATAGAAGGAGAAGCCATATTTTCAGTAATCTAATCAGAATGACATAAAGACCAGAAGCCAAGGTAGAAAGATGATAAAGACGTTTAAAAGGAAATAGTGAATCTTTTTTTCCCATTCCTGTCTGATTATATTATTTTAATCATTATGATTTAAGTGAAAATTGGTTTAATCTAGAAAATAAAATTACAATGTCATTTAACATAATTCAAAGCTAAATGGGAAAATAAGATTCTATTTTTCTTAATTGGTGTGCAAATAAACTACAAAGTCTAGGAGATAAAAGCTATATTTTGAAGTAAAATTTAGTTTAATTCAGATGATTTATTTCTTGCTTATAAATATTTCAGTTCTGATGAAAGTCTGGCTATTAACTCCAAATAACTTTTTGTACTCTCTTACTTTAGTCAGTTCATCAAACAGAAAATCGTGGAATGAAAAACACTTTGCTTTGACATTTCCCAAACCACCCCAGCCAGGTAGAAAAAAGAGATCAAGACCTTTGGAATTACAAAATACAGTTCCTGTAAGTATTGAAAAGGTCATTTTTTAAACTAAATATAAGTTTGTACAAAAATACGTAAATGTAAATAAGTCGTATGTAATTTGAGTTTCACTATCTGTTGAAACAGATATTTTTTAATTTAAAATTCTGTGTACAACAGATTGCCCCCACCTGTTTCAGATTGAACTTTTATTTATACATGGTACCCACATCAAAGTCATTACATAGCTAAAAGGCTAAGCAAGCTGGAAAACCTACTGCTGCAACTAGTAGGATCTCTCATGTAATGTTGACCAGCTGCAAAAGCATCCAAAATTTGAATCTTAAAGCAGGAGCCCATCTGATGAGGTTTTATGGCCTCCCTGTTTTCTTTAGTCTGGAATTCAGGATACTGGATACTTGAATATTCATGTTTTCTACTGCTTCACAGTAGGGGTCTCAGGCTCTAACATTGACCAGAGACCTTGAAAGCAAGAGTAGAAATCCAGTCCACAGCCAAAACTATCACAAGAATTGTCATGACAAACTTCAAGGGGTTCAGCTTATTTCTGCACTAACTTGGGTGTGAAAAGTGGGCAAAGTGTTCCGAAAGATCTCTCCCATATAGGGATGCAATAGGAACCCACTGTCAATTGCGAGGAGAGGCCCTGGAATGTTACAGACTATTGTGGGCCTGTTCCATTCTTAATATGAATAATTGAGAGGACTCTAAATGTTCTCTTAAAGTCATCTTGTGCCCAAAGTTGAGTTCTTTCTCTCTCTCTCTCACACACACACACACACACACGTATGTACACACACCCCACACAGAATCTTGAAACAGAGTAAAATAATTTTTCCAATTTTAAATAGATTAATCAAAAGTGAAACCATTTTGATGTTGTGATATAAAAAGATATAACACACTTACAAATGCTTGTCATTATTCTAACTAATCTTTTCAGAGACAGGACAAAACAAAATTAAAGGAAGATCAGAAGAAAGCTCACATATGGATAAGGCATTCTTTAAGAAAAATTTTCCAAAGACCATCTATTTACTTAGCTGTCAGGAGACAGGCTCCATTCAGATGTTCTTATATTCCCAAAGCCCATCTTGAAAAGGCAGAATCTAAAGAGTCCAAAGGTGGCAAAAAAGGAACAGATTTAAAGAAATATTCTAATAAAAAAACAGGCCGACATACAACTCTAGAATCCAAGAAAATAGTAGAAGATGAAAAACCTAAAGAAAGGAATAAAGAAGCAAAACTTCCATCAAAATCATCACATGAAAATGAACCATATAAACAGTCAAAATCCAAATCAGATACAAATTCAGAATCCAAGGATTCTAAGGAGGTCTCAAAGAAAGATCAAACAAAAGATAAGAAAGATTCAAAAAATTTCAAGGGGACAGATACTAAATCCATATGTACAAAGACTGATCCAAAGAAAGATTCTGAGAAGAGTTCGAAGAAGGATCCTGATGCCGAATCAGAGACTTGCTTAAAAAATAGTTCTAATGTGGATTCAGTGGTGTATTTAGAACAATCTGGTACTGAATCCATGGATTTTGATATATGGCTAAAGAATTACTCACAGAATAACTCAAAGAAGGGCTCAAAGAAAGACACAAAGAAGGATTCAAAGAAGGTCTCTGATGATGAACCTGTAGACTCAAAGGATGCAAAGAAGGATAAGAAAAATGCCAAGAAAGACAATAAGAAGAAGGATGCGAAGAAGGATGCGAAGAAGGATGCAAAGAAGGACACAGATTCTACTGATGCTGAATCTGTAGACTCAAAGGATGCAAAGAAAGATAAGAAAAATGCCAAGAAAGACAGTAAGAAGAAGGATGTAAAGAAAGACACAGATTCTACTGATGTTGAATCTGTAGACTCAAAGGATGTAAAGAAAGATGCAAAGAAGGATAAGAAAGATTCAAAGAAAGACGATAAGAAGAAGGATGGAAAGAAGGACGCAGAGTCTACTAATGCTGAATCTGAATCTGAATTGGAGTCAAAAAAGAATAAGAAAGATGAAAAGAAGGATAAGAAAGATTCAAAGGAAGACACTAAGAAGAAGGATGCAAAGAAAAACACAGTGTCTACTGATACTGAATCTGATTCTGAATTGGAGTCAAAGAAGAGGAAAAGAGATGAAACGAAGGATAAAAGAGATTCAAAGAAACATGCAAGGAGGTATGCAGTGTCTACTGATGCAGAATCTGAATCTGAATGGGAGTCAAAGAAGGATAAGAAAGATGCTAAGCAAGATGCAAAGAAAGATGCAAAGAAAGATACTAAGAAGGATGCAAAAAAGGACACAGAATCTACAGATGGTGAATCTGATGATTACTCAAAGAAAGGCCTAAGTAAGCCCCCAAAGTCAGTAGTCAAAGATTCTGACGCTGAATCTGAAGAGTCACTGTATAAACCTGGGGCTAAAAATAGAGGAGCTGATGACTCAGATGCCACATCCATAGATTCAAAGAAAGAAGCTCAAGGGCTAAAGAAAGAAGTCAAAACATCACACAGAAAGACCACATTCAGAGATAAAGAAAAAAAAGGTACTGTAGGTAGAGTTCCTCCATCAAGAGAAAGACCACCACTACCTCCTTGTGAGCCTTTAACACCATCACCTAAGGTCAAACGTCCCTGTCGGTGCGGGATGCCTCCTCCACCTCCAAAACCAAGATATGCTCCTTTGGTATGTTTACTCCTGTCTTATTTTTAGCCAACTTTATAAAAAAATGAAAGATATTTTTATAGGTTTGTCTGTATATTTTCTTTAAAGAATAGCTCTCTTTTGCTGGAATAATGACAAGTTTGGTACTTGCAGGTAAGATAGGTGAACAGTACTTCAAAAGCACTCAAAAGAGTTGCAAAACATGTCAAAAGATTACAAGAATAGGAATTATTTATACTGAAGCAGAGGGAACTGGCTTGTGATTTGAGAAAAAAAATTAAATTACTTATAATGAGGGTCATTTTACAACAAAAAGGAGTTAACTGTTCTATACTTAGAAAGGGACAAAATGGAAAATTGATTAAAACCTCTACAGACAGATTTAAGTAAGATACCAAAGACATTTTCTGGGAAGATGCTGAATACAGTGAAGGCTCAAACAAAATCCAAGTATAATAGTGGAAATATACCAGGATCCAGATGTTCAAAAAATGTAATTTCATTCTTATCTGATCTGCCTTCTCTATGAACCCTCATTCTTACTGATTAAAAACAAATTAACTTGCCAAAGATAACTAGATCTCTTCCAGTTCTTAACAGTCTCTTTCAGGTTAACTCAGTCTCTTTGTTGGTAAATACTCCATCAGTTTATGCTTCTGTGTCCTCTAAGGGATCTCCCTTTCACCTCCTCCTTCACAAAATACTCTGGTTATAAAGGGAAGCATAAGTAGACACCTCACGTTGGACAGAGGGGCTCCTGTTCCACATGCCATCTTTACTTGCTCTTTCTCACTGATTTTTAGTTGAGGTGTAATTCATTTGAATGGTTTCTGGGTCTACGCAGTGTTCATTGTTCTGTTAGCATGGAGGACCAGTGCCCTCTGTCCTGGTGAACTGTGTCTATAGATGTGGATGGGTCTTGACCTTAAGCTTCTCACTTTATTTTTCTTCTTCCTTCTCCTCCTTTTTCTTTATCTTTCATCTATTTCCTCTTCTATTTCCTCTTATGGGAATCTCATTTACCTTGGAGCAGTTCTACTCTGTCCTATAGGATTGATATGAGTCAGAATCGACTTTATGGCAAAGAGTTTTGGTTTGTTCTAGGCGATATTTTCTCTCCTAACTTTAAAAGTTGAGTCAATGGGTGGGTAGCCACAAGGACAATAAGATTTGCAAGTAATGAAAATATATTTGAGAGTAATTTTTAAGGTAAATGAGAAAGACAAAATAATCCCCAAATAGCTTGATTCTTTTCCACAATCAATTTATATAAAAAATAAGTAAAATACAGAAAAACAAGTTGAGGTCAAGGATTAAATTTAATTGTAAAAAGCAACTTTCGAAGTAAGTTCTGGGCTTGTATACATTCATGCTAAGTCTCCTGAAAATTCTTGATGTATACCTGCTGTCCAGTTAGACTTTTCCATCCCTATCATTCCATGAACCTGCTCTTTTCAAGGTTACCAAATACCTTCATTTGGCCACATCAAGTGGTCTCTCCTCTTTTTTCATCTTATTCTACAATCCAACAGCATTTGATAAAATCACCTCTCCCTCCTTCTAAAAGCACTTCCTTTATTTGGATTCTATGACACTTCATTCTCTTATTTTTCTTCCTACTTACTGGCAGCTTTTAATCTCCTTTATTCCATCTTTATTTCTATCTACAACCCTCTCATGACTCCCAAATTAATATCTCCAACTCTGACCTTCCCATTAAGCTTCAAATTCTTACATCCAATGGCCTACTTGACATCTCCACTGTGGTATCTCAAACTTAACCTGTATCAACAATACTTTTAACCCATTTCAAAACCTATTCTTCTCCCAGTCTTATCCATCTTAATAAACGGCACTATCATCATTCAGTCAATTGATACTTTAAAACCTGGATAGCATCTATTATTCCTCTCTTTCCCTTTCCACACCCCACATGTAATCTATCAGTAAGACTTGTCTATTTTACCTCCAAAATATATCCTGTATCAATCCACTTCTTTCCATCTCTAACACTACCACCTTAATGGTCTAAATCGCTATCATATTTCCTGGAATACCGAAGAGTTCCTAAGTAGTCTTGCTACTTCTTCTCTCCACTGCTTAAAACACTAGTGGCTTCACAATGCACCCTGTCTTTTAATGCCTATATTGTCTTTTCCATACCTATTTTCCACCCTCATCTTGTGCCACTCTCCCCCTTTCCTTTCATGATCTAGCAAAACAGGCATTTTTTTTTTTTTTTTCTCATAGACACCAAAATTTTTTCTTGCCAAACTTTTGCATATACTGTTTCCTCTGTCTGGAATGCTCTTCCCCTCAGATCTTTGCATAGCTAAATCCTTATTTAGTTTTTCAGCTTAAAAGTTATCCCTTTAGAGAAGTCTTCCCTGATTGCCTATGTTGCCGACACCCCCACCACAGTCTGGTCACTCCCAACCCTGCATACTACTTTAATTCTCTTCATAGAATTTGTCTTTATCTAAAATATCTATATCTAAAATATAAAAGAATACATTTTTTTCTTTTGTGAACCTCGTCTGTTATTTCACTGCTGTATCCCCAGTTCCAAAAGTATGACCTGGCCTATATTTGGTTGGTTGACAATTTGGTATTTATAAAGGGTTATAGATTATATTACACTAGTGGGCCTTCTAAGGAGCCCTGGTGGCACAGTGGATAAAGCACTCCGCTGCTAACCAAAAAATCGGTGGTTCAAACCCACCAGCCACTCCATGGGAGAAAGATGTGTCAGTTTGCTTCCATAAAGATTTATAGCCTTGGAAACCCTATGGGGCAGTTCTGCTCTGTCCTATAGGGTCACTATGAGTTGGAATTGGCTCGACAGCCTTGAATTTTGTTTGGGATGAGTGGGCCTTCTGACATCCCCTTTTACAAGCATTTCTTCTTTGGTAATATGAGACTAAAGTGAACAAAAAAGCATTTTAGTGAACATAAAGGCATTTTGGAAAGGAGAAAAGTCACAAAAGGGCATCTTACATTCTTAGTGAATGTCTGGAAGGGATACATGTGTGTCCTTCTCATTTGTGTGTGCAGAATTTATAAGCAGACTATGTTAATGAGTCTTAGGTCTATTTTAGTATTGGCTCTTAGAACCATGGTCTTCCCTGCTTCGGCCTCATCAGAGTCCTAAATCTCACAGCAGCACGTGAGCAGGGCTAGCGCATGTTTCAGGGTCAGCTCTGTTTACACTCCTAGAAGATGTAAGAAAATTTAAATTTGATTCTCAGCCACTAATGAGGAAATAATTATATTCCACTTCCAAAAAAACCAAACCCATTGCAGTTGAGTCAATTACGACTCATAGAGACCCTATAGGATAAAGTAGAACTGCTTCATAGGGTTTCCAAGGATGTAATCTTTACAGAAGCAGACTGCCACGTCTTTCTCCTGTGGAGCGACTGGTGGATTTGAACCAGTGACTTTTTGGTTATCAGCCAAGCCCTTTAACCACTGTCCACCTGGGCTCCTATAGTCCACTTACTGAGGTAGAGATGTAGAGTGTTATGTTTAGGATGTTTTGTTTTCCATTCTAATTTTTACATTATTTTTTTAACAAAATGTAAAATGAATATGAAAGATCAGGAAATCTATCTCCCTATGCCACATTTTCCAGCCCCTAGTGAGGTAGCAAGGAACCCTGCTGACACAGTGGATAAAGTGCTTGGCTGCTAACCAGAAGTTTGACAGTTCGAATCCACCAGCCACTCCATGGGAGAAAGATGTGGAAGTCTGCTTTCTAAAGATTATAACCTTGGAAACCCTTTGGGACAGTTCTACTATGTCATATAGGTTGGCTATGAGTCAGAATTGACTCCACGGCAATGGATTTGGTTTTGTTTTTTAATGAGGTAGCAGAGGTCCCTGAACTATTGGAACGAAAGAGATAATCACAACATTGAATGGAAAATATTACCTCATAAAATTCTCAGGAAAAAACAGAAGAATTCTTCTTAGGTATCGCTAAGATTTCTAGAGTTTTTCAAAAGACTGAAAAACTTAGAGATGCTTTTACAATGTATAGTCATGACCTCAGGGGTCTTTTTATTTCCTGACACCATCATTTCCTGATTTGGTGTATTTTTTAAAAAGCTGCAGTCGCTTTAATTTGTTGAATTGAACATTTATGAATAATGAAGTCATCTCACTGTATTTGATGAATAGATATTCAAGTATCAGCATAAATTAAAGGCTCAAAGAAACAGAAAGACATAGGGAGGTATTAAGCCTTCCCTCCGCCATCTCTATACGTGTGTGGAAACGTGTGTACATATCGAATAATGACCTTATTCTTGCTTAGAATGGAGTCAGTCGAGCAGAATCATTCAAATAAAGTAAATGGAAAATAATTTTCATAATTCTGCAGCCATCAGATGCAACTGAACTTTGCATTTTGTCTTGTATTATAAGAGAAGTTTTAGCCTGGTGAATAGATTCTTTATTCTATTTCTGTTTTTATTTATTTTGCTGGTTACTTCCATATCTCTAAATAATATCTTTATATGGATAATTCTCAATTTTAGACATTTTCTATTCATTTTCTGCCTTATAAATGGTTTAGTTCATTTACATCACCCCCTCTTCTTCTCCCTTTCTAATACAGTTCTATCATCATTTTTAGTTCCTTTATTAATTACTTTTGTAACTTTAAATACGTATTTGTAACTTTTACCCAGTGCCCATACTCTTCACTTCTCCTTCTTTGTCCCTTTTCTCTAGTTTTCCTTTTAAAAGTGCTCTTTTAATGGTCCCTTGTAACGACCTTTCATCAAATGCTATGCCCTCGTCTCCATCCTCATTCCTTTGTGTTCTCTTGCCTTTATTGGAACTTTTCTCCTCATTTAGCTTTCCTGAATGACTACTATCATGGCTCTCTTTCTTTCTCTCCTACTGCTATTTCTATATTTCCATTTCTGGCACTTCCTCCTCCCATGCCCAACTCAAGGTTGTTTTCTATGGCTGAGTTCTTGGTCCTCCATTCTTCTCTACATAATCTCCTTTGAAGAATTTTTCCATTATTATGGCTTCAA